GCTTTGGAGAATAGCTTGGAATGTCTAACGGTAGTGCAGATTTTTGCGGCCACTCTGCAAACTTCAATTCCCATAATTCCCCAGGCAGTCAGTTGAAGTCCATGCATCTTAAAATGGCCAAGGTTGAGAAACTCTGCTCTAGTCTAGAGGTCCCCAAACTTTTGGGCAGCAGGGACCGGTTCCACGGAGAGAGATTTTTCCGTGGACCGGAGGGTGCGTGGTTTTGTGTGCTGCCCACATCCCACAGATGGAGCTTTGCTTGTTTGTGCAGACTGGCGTGCTGCGGCCCAGTACTGGTCCACGGACCGGGGGTTGGAGACCCCTGCTCTAGAGAGAGCTGTATCTCAGACAATCTCACTGATTTAAGTTCTCAAATCCAGCCCATCCAATATATGGTACATGTCTTCATATTAAATCAGCTTTATGGGTATGTTGCGAAGAGTCAGTGTGCACTGTATTTGTGTACACACATGCAGGGGAATAAGGGCAGATTTTGAACTGGATTTGGATGGGCAAACAATTGAAGAGGAATTGCTGATTTGGGGAGGGGCGCATATGACGATCTAAACCTGATTCAGGATGACTGTACAAGGAAATTAATTTGATTTTTCTTTGTAACCTAGCAATTTCTTTTATATTGGTGTTGTATTTTGAATTGCATACATTAGTGGAGGAATTCTCACACCAATGCCCCCCCCCAAAACTGCAAGAGGGACTTGAAAGAGGCCCAGAGTGAACTGGGAACAGTGGTACAGGTAGTCCATAACTTACAGCAGTTCATTTAGTGACCAAAGTTGCAACGGCACAGAAAAAGTGACTTATGACCGTTTTTCACACTTACGACCGCTGCAGCATCCCCATGGTCAGGTGATCAAAATCCGGATGCTTTGCAACTGACTCCTATTTATGAAGGTTGCAGTGTCCCGGAGTCATGTGATCACCTTTTGCAAACCTTGCAACAAGCAAAGTCAATAAAGAAACCAGATTCACATATATGGGTCAATATAAAAGAGAGAAAAAAAGTGACATTACCATAGGTGTATATTTCAGGCCACCCAACCAATCAGAAGAAATAGATGAACTCTTTGCAACCAAAGTTAACAAATGTATGTAGGAAGCAATAGTAATGGGAGACTTCAACTATCCAGATATCAACTGGGTGACAAACTCTGCCGCGATCAAACAGATTCCTAACCAACCTAGCCGACAACTTTGTCACCCAAACGGTGGAGGAGGAAACTAGACGTAAAGCCATACTGGACTTAATTCTAGTAGAGAAGAAGTGATAGAGGGAATTGAAATTGCTGGAGCCTTGGGATAGTGACCACGTCATACTGGAATTTAATATAATGCAAACAGTAGCAATAGAAAACAATCCAACCAGTGTCTTAAACTTCAAAAGAGCTGACTTTAGCAAACTCAGAGACAACCTAGGAAAGATTTCATGGATGAAAATCCTAAAGGGGAAAACAACCCAAGAAGCATGGGAAACTCTGAAAAATGCGATCATAAAAGCCCAGACCAGTACAGTACCACTGAAAAGGAAAAGCAAGAAATTCAAGAAGAAACCAACATGGCTGCACAAAGATCTCTCTGACAAACTGAAAGACAAAAAGGACAAATACAAAAAATATTGGGGCACATCACTCAGGCCGATTATCAGCAGGCAGCCAGAACATGCAAAGATGAAGTCAGGAAAGCAAAGGCTTAGAATGAACAAAGACTTGTAACAGAAATCAAGGATAATAACAAAAAAGTTTCTTGTAACATATTAACAAGAAAAAAGTCAAGGAAACTGTACGTCCACTAGAGAGAGAAGATGGCAAGGAAATAACAGGACACAGGGAGAAAGCAGAGCTGCTTAACTCATACTTTGCATCAGTCTTCACACAAAAAGAAACTATAGCCCGACATATCAAAAAAAAACACTGCTAAAGACAAACTAGAAACAAAAATAAGTAAGAAAATGGTAAGAGAACACCTATCGACCTTGACGAATATAAATCACTGGGGCCTGACAGATTACATCCCAAAGTTCTGAAGGAGCTGGCAGATGTTATCTCAGAACCATTGCATCACACCTTTCATAAACCCTGAGCACCGGGGAAGTACCTGAGGATTGGAAAAGGGCTGATGTGGTTCCCATCTCTGAGAAAGGGGAAAAAACGGATCCAGGAAACTACAGACCAATCAGTTTAACATCAATACCTGGGAAGATCCTAGAAAAGATAATCAAAAAACAGATCTGCGAATAACTAGAAGCAAAGTTATAACTAGTAGCCAGCACGGGCTGTTAAAAACAGATCATGCCAACCAATCTTATTTCATTCTTTGATAAAGTGACTATATTAGTAGGCCAGCGAAACGTTGTGGACATAGTATACTTAGACTTCAATAAGGCATTTGATAAAGTAGACCACAATCCCTGCTTGGTAAACTACCAATAGGTGGGATAGACACAACACCATCCGATGGATCTGTAGCTGGCTGACAAACCGTACTCAGCAAGTAGTCCTCAATGGCACTACATCCACTTGGAGAGAAGTCAGCAGTGAGGTACCACAAGGTTCCGTCTTAGGCCCAGGACTCTTCAATATCTTCATCAATGACTTAGATGACAGAATTGAAGGGGAACTCATCAAATTTGCAGATGACACCAAACTGGCAGGAGTAGCCAACACTCCAGAAAGTAAGCTCAGAATCCAAAAAGATCTTGACAAACTTGAACAATGGGCCCTATGCAACAAAATGAGTTTCAGTGTGGAGAAAAGCATTTAGGCAGGAAAAACTAAAGATACAAATACAGATTGGGCGAGACCTGGCTTAAAAACAGTAACTGTGAGAGGAATCTTGGAGTCCTAGTGGACGATCACTTGACTATGAGCCAGCCGTGTGCAGCAGCAGCCAAAAAGGCTAATACAATCCTGGGTTGTGTAAACAGAGGCATAGAATCAGGATCACGCAAAGTATTAGTACCACTTTATAAAACCCTAGTAAGACCACACACCTGGAATACTGCAACCAATTTTGGTCACCACATCACAAAAAAGATGTTGAGAGTTTGGAAAAAAATCAGAGAAGAGCAACTAAGATGATCAAAGGCATGGAGACTAAAACATACGAAGAACGGCTGCAGGACTTGGGTTTGGGTAGTCTAAAGAAAAGAAGAACTAGGGGAGACATGATAGCAGTATTGCAGTATTTGAGAGGCTGCTACAAAGAAGAAGGGGTCAGTTATTCACTAAAGCACCAGAGGGCAGGACAAGAAACAATGGTTTGAAACTGACCGAAGAGAGCAGCAACCTGGAATTAAGGAGAAACTTCCTGACAGGGAAGACAATTAACCGGTGGAACAGCTTACCACCAGAAATTAGGGGCGCTCCATCCCTGGAGGTTTTTAAAAAGAGGCTAGACAGTCAGTTATCTGAGATAGTATAGGTTCTCCTGCTTGAGCAGGGGGCTGGACTAGAAGGCCTCCAAGATCCCTTCCAGCTCTATTCTATTCTATTCTATTCTATTCTATTCTATTCTATTCTATTCTATTTTAATTCTAATTCTATTCTATTCCATTATTCTATTCTATTCTATTCCATTATTCTATTCTATTCTATTCTATTCCATTCCATTATTCGATTTTAATTCTAATTCTAATTCTATTTTATTCTATTCTATTCTATTCACTAAAATGAGGACCCAGATTGTTGGGGGCAATGTAAAATATATATATATACATTGCTTACTGGTGTACACGGCTTAGTGAGTGCTTGCACTTAAAGCGGGATATAAGTCTCATAAATAAATAAATAACAACTGCCATGATTTACTTAACTGCAAGAAAGGTTGTGAAATGGGGCAAAGCTCACTGAACAAACATCTCACTTAGCAACAGAAACGTGGGGCTCAATTGTCACGGTAAGCCGAGGACTACCTGTACTTCTATCCCGAAGACCAGGAACCTAGGAAGGGGGCAGGAGACCTGGGGGGGGGGGCTGAGAGGAACAGGTTTCCCATTCATTCTCCCTCGCCCCCTGGGCTCCGCTTCCCCCCCACCCCAACATCCATCATGCTTCCCAGCCTTCCTTGACCATCGCTCGCTCTGACCCAGCCAGCCCAGGCATTCTTCCCTTCAGCCCCCCCACCCACCCACCCACCGCCCCTAGTTTGCCACGCGGGGACCCCCCTCCCCACTCTCGGCCCCCTCTCGCCCCCCCCACCGGGGCAGGTCCTCCTGGGGGGCCCAAATCCTCCGCCCCCCCTGGACACAGATACACACATACAAAAAACACAAAACCACGGAGAGGGTGAGAGCCACGCGCGGGTCGGGGAGAAGCCCGGGCGCGGGCGAGCGGGCACGCGCGCGGGGGGGAGCCCGCCTGGCCCCCACCTCTCCTCACGGGGGCGCGCACCGCCCTCCCCCTCGGCTCCTCCCCCTCCTCGGCGGCGGCAGCAGCAGCGGCGGCGGCGTCGTCGGTTGCTGTTCCCGGGGCGGCCGCGGCGGTGCTGCTGCTCCTCCTCCTTCCTGGCTGCTGCTCCCTCCGCGCCTTCTCCGCTCCCGCTGCCCAGCGACCCGGCCGGCCGAGAGGCAGGCAGGCGGGCCGGCAAGCAGGCGGCAGGCGAGTCCGCGGCGCGGCGGAGGCCCGGGGCCTGAGGGCCGGCGGGCCTCCTGATTGTCGTGGCGGCGTTGGCGCGGGCCCGGCCCGGCCCGGCTCGGCCGGGGCGCCCATGCGGATGTGACACTCGGCGTCGGCCATTTTGAGAGCGCGAGGAGGAGGAGGAGGAGAGGAGGAGGCGGCGGAGGAGCCGCGGCCGAGCCAGGCGGGCGCGCAGGGCCGCTCTCCCGCCGGAGCCGGCAGCCCTCGCCGGGTGGGCCTCGGCCTCCCTCGGCCTCGCCCGCCGCCATTGGGCGCATCGCCAGCAAATACGTGCGCGTCTCCCTGCCGCCGCCGCCGCCCCTGCCCGCCGAGGAAGGCCGCGAGGAAGCCCCCGCCCCGCCCGCCGCCGCCGCCCCGCAGCCCCCGCCCGAGGGGCCCCCGGCGGCCGCCATGAACCACCACCACCACCCGCCGCCGCCCCCGCAGCAGCAGCCCCCGCCGCCGCCGCCGAAGCCGGGCGAGCAGCAGCTGAGCGAGCCGGAGGACATGGAGATGGAAGGTAGGCGCCCCCCGCCCTGACAGGCGCCCCCTCCGCCGGGACAGCCCCCCCGATCGCCCCCCCCGCTGGCCGCCACCTGCGCAGGTGAAGCGGGGCGCCTCCCCCCCTCCCCCTCCCCTCGCAGCCGGCATCCCTGGCGCTGCTCCGACCCCCCCCCCAGCCCTTTCCCAGCTGATCGCTCGGTCTCCCTAATCCGGAGCCGCTCCGGCTCTCCAGCATCGCCCGCCCGCCCGCTGGGGGCTGCGAGTCCCCGCCTGGGGGTCCCCATCGCCGGGCCTGCTGGGTGGGGCTCGCCATCTCCCCCCCCCCACCGCCTTGCCCGGTGGCCCGATCCTCCTGCGCCCCCTCCGCCCTCGGCAGGGGAAGCGCGGCCTCTCCGCGGCAGGGCCCGAGGCGCCTTCCTGCTGCTGCTGCGCCCCCCCCCCCCCGCAGCCCGCAGCGCCCGGGCCACGTGCGGCGGTGGGCGAGGGTCTCTGGCCCGGCCGCCCGGGCGGCATCTGGGAAGACCTTCCCGGGCGCCCCCCTTCCGGGGGGAGGCGCCTGCCGTCTCGCGCGAGGCCGGAGTTTAAAAGTTTGGCAGCGCTGGGGGGCGGAGGCTTCCCTGCTCGGCGGGCGGCGGAGGGCCCGGCGGCGGCGGCGTCCTGGGGGCTGGGGTGGGCTGGCCCGGGGAAGGGGAGGGGAGGGCCGCCCGCAAAGGGGAGGGAGTCCCCCCTGCAGGAATGCGTGGCGCTCGGCCCCCGGGGAGGCGCCGGCAGCCGCCCGGCCTTGGCTGGGGGTTTGGTTTGAAAAGCCCCTCCGGCCCCTTCCCATTGTCGCCTGCACGCGAGATGCTCGCCATTTTTAATTGGGGCACGGCGGCGGCGGCTGCTGCAGCTCGGAGGGGTTATTGACAGAGAGCGCCCCGGCTTTCGGGGCGGGGAAGCGGGCGGAAGGCTGGCTGAGCTACGTGCCCGGAGCCAGCAGGCCCCTGTCCCTGCTCAGTCATGCTGGCTGGGCGAGAGGAGGAAGCCTTCCCTCCTCCCCCCCCCCCCGGAAGATGCTGCTCCCGACCTCCCAGACCGGGAGCTCATCCTTCCCCGAAGCTCTGGTTTCTCTCGGTGCTGCTGTTGGGGCTGCTTTCCTCTTGCAAGCAGTCAGAATAGAGCTGGAAGGGACCTTGGAGGTCGTCTAGTCCAGCCCCCTGCTCAAGCAGGAGAGCCGGGCCATTCCGGACAAATGGCTGTCCGGTCGCTTCTTAAAAGCCTCCAGGGATGGAGCCCCCACAAGTCCCGAAGGCAAGGCATGCGTCTGGTTAAATTGTTCTCACTGTTAGGAAGTGTCTCCTGTCAGTAGGATCTTAAAACTTTCCTATTTATATTACCCAGTGACAGGGTTGCATGCTTCAAAAATCGGAAGCATCTTTTTCTAAAAGAAGTAGGGGGTAGGGAATTTTCTGGCCCTGTAATAAAGAGTGTTTATGTTTAGGCTACTTTGGATGCTCCGTAAAACACGTCTACTTTTCTGCACGTGGGAACATGGTAAGAAGTAGGGGCGTCTCTGGATGAGGAAGTGGTCGGGCACTCATGCAGTCCAAAATAATACAGTTCAGACATGCAGCCTTAGGACTTCAGCGAAGACTAGAATTGTGTTACTTTGTGACAGCTGAGAAAAAAGCGCAAGTTATGGAGTAAAACATGTCCTGACCTACGTGTCATGAGGCATGAACTTTATTGTTTAATCTTGTTTCCTCTTTTTAAGACTTGCTTGACCCTCAGTGGGCCATTCTTATTTCCTTCCCATTTACGTAGAACTTAAAAGATTGCTCTCCTTGACATCCTAATTATTATTTCAGTATTTAAAGAACTGAATACTACTTGTAAAATGAAATGAATGTAGATATCTTTCTCAGCTTGTTTTGCCCCAGCTTAGCGTATGGATCTTCTGTTCTCACCTATGACGTCCAGTTAAACAACAGTAACAAAAATATTATGAGATATATTAGGTCTTCTCTCTTTAATTCAAATGAATTAAAAGCTGTATTTTAAACTCTCTTAGCTGTTAATTCACATTTTTTTGTATAATCACCATAAGCAGTTTGTTGAATGTAAAGTAATACTTTCTTAGAAGTATAAGTATTTTGAGGAGATAACAAATACTTAGAAAGTCAGTTATGTCACCGTCCCTGAACTATAGAAAGGTTGTTTTGTCCAGGTTTTTTTTTGATTCTTTATCCCATCACCAACAAAATCCATCTTTATCTTTTCCTAGCAGATGATGCCTGTCTAGGACAGTGTTTCCCAAACTTGACAATTTTAAGGCATGTGGACTTCAACTCCCAGAATTCCACAGCCAGCGTTGCTGGCTGTGGAATTCTGGGAGTTGAAGTCCTCATGCCATAAAATTGTCAAGTTTGGGAAACACTTGTCTAGGACATGACATGAAAGTGGCAGGAGCTTCTTACTCTTTGTTTGCATGACCTGGCATTCAGTGGTATAGTGCTACTGTCCATGGAGGCTTCTGTGTAGAGCTTTAATAACTATAATAGCCATGGATAAACCTATTTGCCAGGATTTTACCTAATCCTTTTTCAAAGCTGCCTAAGCTAGTGGATTTCATGCATAGTGATGAATTATTGCTTGTTAATGTGTCCCCTGAGCCTCACAACAATAAGTTGTATATTTTGAGAAAACTCTTATCCGCTGTCTCCATGCCGTTTATTCCTTCCCTTATTTATCCACCTATTAATTGCCTTATAAACCAAGAACAGGTTGGAGTTGTTGGATTTATTTATGAGATGATCACACGAATGTAAATAAGATGGTTGAGCCCTAGTAGTTAATGGAACTGGGGTATATGAAAGTTGTGTTGGTGTTTTTGGGTTACTTTAAAAAAAATTGGCAGCAAATCTTTCAACAAGAAAAAGAATGAACAAAATTCTCACGTCCATACTGTAAACAAAAATGATTGTTTTAAAGTTATTTAGTAAATAATATTTTGTTGGCTCTCATCCTGCATAATTATAACTTCAGGGGCATGTAGATGATGATGATGATAGAAAGAGCACTTAGACCAGTGTTTCTCAACCTTGACAATTTTAAGGCATGTGGACTTCAACTCCCAGAATTCCACAGCCAGCAACTCCCAGTGGGAGTTGAAGTCCACATGCCTTAAAATTGTCAAGGTTGAGAAACACTGACTTAGACTTATATACCGCTTCACAGTGCTTTCCAGCCCTTTCTAAGCGGTTTACAGAGTCAGCCTGTTGCCCCAACAATCTGGGTCCCCATTTTACCGACCTTCCGGAAGGATGGGAGGCTGATTCAAGGATGGTGAAGGATGATGATATCCATCCAGTCATGTCCAGCTCTTGATGATTGTTTGGGCCAGGTCTCTCCACATCTTCCGATCTTTCTCTGTGCTCTGGCTGGGGGGGGGGTCAGCTTTGATAGTGCCCAGTCACTGGTTTCCTTTTACTGCTAACTCTTCCAAGCATAATTGTTTTCTCCAGTGACTTCCCCTGCATGACATGGCCAAAATGAGTGATATGTATGATACTAAACCATTTTCACAGCTCGTTCTTTAAAGGAACCCTAATCTGGGTTCCTGTTGTGAAAGTAACAGTTTATTTATCCCACGTCCCACAGGCACAGTTGTACTTAGCATGCTGCCAATTAAAGGCAGCCATATACCCCACATTTTTATAAAAAAAAATGGTGAGATACTGACAATCCTTGACTTCTAACCACAACGGAGCCCCAAAGTTGTTAGGTGAGTTTGGGTCCATTTTACAATCTTTCTTGCCACCGTTGTTAAATCATTGCCGTTGTTAAGCGAATAACACGGTTGTTAAGCCCATCTGACTTCCCCATTGACTTTTCTTGTCAGAAGGTTGCAAAAGGTGATCGCATGATCCTGGGATCCTGCAATCGTCATAAATATGAGTCAGTTGCTGAGCGTCTGAATTCTATGAGATGCTGCAATGGTTGTAAGTGTGGAAAACATAAGTCATTTTTTTTCAGTGCTGTTGTAAACTTTGATCACTAAATGAACTGTTGTAAGTAGAGGACTACCTGTAAATGCTTACCAAAAGGATTCAGTGGAAGGAACAGATTTAAGCAAAGGCAGAATGAGGGGGAGAAAAGTATGGAGTTACTTCAGTTATATAAACTTTAGGGTAATTACAGTAAGGGACTACGGGTGGTGGGGTAATTTTGTTTTCCTTTTGCCAAAGGCTCCCCATTAAATTTAGATTTAAGGAGGCATTTAAAGGTAAGAAGCGGATGAGACGATTCCAGCAATATAGGCAGCAGGAGAAAGAGGGAGAATTGAGGAAGTAGAAAAACTTTGCATAATTGCAAGTGGAGAAACTGGATAGGCAATGGGGCACAAGAAGGATAAGGTCACTGAGGATGGTGAAAGGAAAGAAGGGATAAACAGGAAGGGAGCTTAAAGAGATGCCTTGTAGTCTGATTGAAGGCAGGTGATGAATACATTTGGTAGAGAATTTTGGATATAGAGTGTGAGGTGTGGGTTTGGTTGTGGGGGTTTTTTGGTTTCTTTTTTACAGTAGATCAGTTGAAAGATGACCAGGAAGTAGAGCTAGTTTTTACACTAAAGCAGGGGTAGGCAGCCTCGGCTCTTTTATGACTGGTGGACTTCAACTCCCAGAATTCCCTGAGCCAGCCATGCTGAGGGGAGAGGGAGAGGTTTCCAAGCTGAGCCAGGCTGACTCAGGAATTCTGGGAGTTGAAGTCCACGACTCATAAAGCGGCCTAGGCCCTAGCCAGGGGTGGGCAACCTTGGCTCTTTTATGACTGGTGGACTTCAACTCCCAGAATTCCTGAGCCAGCCATGCTGAGGAGAAAGGGAGAGGTTGCCATGCTGAGCTATGCTGTCTCAGGAATTCTGGGAGTTGAAGCCATCCATCTCCAAGTGGCCAAGGTTGAGAAATACAGGCCCAAGCCAGGGGTAGGCAACCTTGGCTCTTTTATGACTCGTGGACTTGAACTCCCAGAATTCCT